GCTAGTTGCCGTACTGTCAAATTTCGACTCTACAGCAACTGACGATGGTTGCTATTCGTAATAAAAATTTTCTTTTCAGTTGCCAGTTGTCAACCGAATCGTGGTTGCGTTAAGCTATTATTGAGAGCAATAAAAATGAATTGAAATTGTGTGGCCCAAGCGCACTCATAAGATCTAGGTAGAGTCCGACCGATTAATCGGCATCGGCATCGGCCTTTTTTCGCCGATTCTTTGAAATTTCTTTTCATATTTCAGGTGAAGCGACAGCAAATACAAAAATGATTTTTTTTTCTTTGTTGAAGGTGTTTCACGTTTTTTCCATACAAATGTACATATCGCGCACCGTTTTCAAAAGAGTCACAACTCAAAATAATACGTTCGTCAGAAAATGCGAAAAACTATTTCGTAGCACATTCTAATCATATGGGCAAAGGCGACTTTACCTTACGCTTTTTTAACAAATTATAACAAAAATTTGCTCCAGCTTTTGCTGAAAGGTAAATAAAAGCTTTTAGCGCATAATTTCAAAAATGCCAAATTTTGAGTTGTGACTCTTTCGAAGACGGTGTGCGGTATTATGTTCGACACTTTTCTTTTATATGGAGCACGCTGCCACCAAAAAAAAAATGCCAAAAATTAACGGGATTTTAAAGCAGCTTGAAACTTGCCCTTGAATTAAATGGTCTACAAAACGGCATACCAAAATTCCGATTAAAAAGTTTGAAATTTTGGTGAAAATAAGCAGAATTTTTCTAATTTTTGTACAAAGTTTGAAATCTGAATTTATATGTTGTTTATTGCATACCAGCTAGACTTTTATAAAAAAAAAATAAAGATTAAACAAACAAAAGACAAATGCCAAAACAGGTCAACATAACGCAATTCTTTTATTTTATGGACCACTGTATGTATGTATGAACATTAGGGTGGTCCAAAAAAAAGTAAAGTCGGAAATTTAATGCTCTCACCCCCTAGGATTGTTCTATACCGAAAAAAATATACCCCTGTTTTTTTTTATTTTAAAATCAAAATATATTTAGAGGTCGCTCAAAGCGCTCCAAGTTTCCCATGTATTTTGTATGGGGAAAAAAAGACTTTTCGTAGAATTGGCATAGAATCCATGGAAATCAAAATTTTTCAATCTGAAAACTCTGCTTCTCTTCAGAAGACTTCAGAGAATAATGCCCTCTAAATATATTTTGCTTTTAAAATAAAACAACAAGTGTATATTTTTTCTCGGTATAGAACAATCCTAAGGGGTGAGAGCATTAAATTTCCGATTTTACTTTTCTCCCATACATTTTTGGACCACCCTAATGTACATACATACCTAGCATATAAGTTCTTATGCATTGAGTGCATTTTAGTACAAAACGAAATGAAATTTTATGCTCCTAAATATTTCTTGCTTAGCACCATATGAAAAAGTGTTTTATGTAATGTACATAAATGTGACATATGTATGTATGTACATATATTTTTACACATACATATGTATGTTCATACATACATACATATGTAATGTTGCATGACAAGCCAATTAATTCAATTATTTGTATTGTTAACTCCGTGAAATTAACTGATTTTATGAATTAATACATTTATTTGTAATTTTTTATGGAATCGGCATCGGTACCTGAAAAAAATTGAAATCGGTCGGACTCTGTTAACAGATGCAAGCATAGAAATATATCTCGCGAGAACTCCATGCAGGAGTCACTCATGTAAACTATGCTGCAAAGCAGAAAAAAATGGACAATAGCATGTGAAGCAATAGCAGAGACGATGAAGAAGCTAAGGCTTTCCCCCTCACGTGGTAGTGCTTGATGGCAGTCTCGTGGGGTGCGGATTTTGACGAAACATCCTGCTTTTCGTGGTTTTATAAGGACACTTGAGAGAGTACATAGTGCTCTACCACAACGTCCATGAAAAAAAAACTGTTAAGGTATAAACAGAACTCAAAGACGAAAAGATGGTTTCCCACATTTTCCCATTCTTTTTATTGTTGTTAATTATCTCGCCGTTCTTCTGGTCATGTTATGGACTTATGTAAATAGTCTCGGCGGCACCACATAGTGGCTATATAGCTTAACTTAACCTTACCTCTCGTTATCATCTGCACTAGACGCGCAAATATACATATAGTACGGAAAGGGCGTAACTCACATCGTCGCTGAAATACAAAAAGTCGAAAGTAAATAAAAATTCAAAAATCACTTTTGATTAATTATGATGCATTTCATCGAATTATAAGTCCCCAAATCGTTTTATGCAATGACAAATTTTAGTTAGTTGTGCCTTTTTTCATTTCAGCGGCTCTACTGACGATATAAAAATCTCATTCGTTGTAAATATAAGAAATATTCAAACGTATAAAAAAACCCACACACACATGTGTACAAGCACACAAATAAACCAGAACTATAAAATGTAGACAAAAGAAATATGTTGCGATAAGTCAGTCGTATACAAATACACCTACATATATACCTAATAAATAACACTGCCCAACAAAATTCTGTTAAGTACAATATTGTAGCCGAGATTATAGTTTAGTTTTCCTGTAGAATCCGAATCTGACCGTAAAAGCATTGGATTGGCGCTAGTTTTCGAGCAACTTTAGTTTAAAGTACGGAAAAGCGCGTTTAGGGCATTTTCGAGCCTCTGTAAAACAATAAATTGATGCAATATATCAGTATGTGTGGGAGGATATGAAAGGAATTTTTTTTTATTTTTTTATGTATGTTACCGCATAACTTTGGACCACGTTAACCGATTTCTATAATTCTTTTTTTTAAAGGAAAGGTGTTACCTCACAGGTGATCCGGATCATGAAGAAATCAACGATAATCTAAAATTTGTATGAGAACTGAAGTCGTTTTTTTTTTGCCTAAAAATTACTTGTTTTATTTATTTCTTGTTTTGCCTGTTTTTGAATTTCTAAAGAGGCTCAAACCTTTACCGAAGAAAAGATAACATAGACCAACAAAATGTATGTGGACTAAAATCTTACAGCCGATCCATATAGGATTTGTTCCGTAGAGCCCGAATCTGACTTTAAAAATTTTTAATTGGCTCTAGTTTTCAAGCAACTTGGGTTTAAAGGTGTCTTCCTCATATTCATTTCCACTGCTAGAGTGGAATTGGTACAGGAATTTCTGCAGTATGTGGATAAAGGCTGTTAACCGTCTTACCAAGTCTCCTCCAAATTTCTTCAGTGGCTTTTGAAAATGGACCGAAAAAGGAACCTCGATTTTCATTTATAAAATATATACATATGTATTCGTATGTATAGATCAGATGTTTCTCACTGACTAATATGTCAAAACATATGCCGTAAATAATAAGTTTTTCCATTATATTTGTCTGAGAGCCTCTTGGAGGTTAAAAACTAAATTGCCCACATCTACATACATAAACTCTTTCTTTTTTTCATCAGAATCGTTAACGGTTGAGAAAGTATCTTGAAGGTTTACAACAAAAGATAATATTTCCTTCTCCAACGACGGTTTCACACGGGTTTTTATAAAGACTGGGCCAGAGCCCAATATTTTTTCATCACACGATTGGGCTAACAAGTTTTACCATATTTTATGTTACTAATTTTGCACAAAATGCATCAATCATTCAATGCGATTTTAAAATCTGGGAGAAAATGGTTCCCAATTGAATGATTCTTGCGATTTTATATGTGCATGAATGTAGGTGTATAGAATTCCATTAACTTACAATAAGTGGTTCCAGAGATAGCCGATATGAGAATTTCACTTTGTATGGGCGGTGCCACTCCCCCTTTCCCATTACCTACCATTTTTCACCGTAAGTTGGGTATTTATAATCTATGCATCTCTGCTAAGTTTCAGTTCCCCGGCATAATTGGTTTTAGAGATATAGTGATTTTCACATTTTAGCCCCCTTTGTATGGGGATTAACATTTCTTTTCCTTTAAATCGGTGTATGTTTCATTGAAATCGAGCGAACGGTGCCTTCAAAAAAGGGATTGTAAAATTTTCTTGTGGCGTATTTATATATAGATTTTTGGATTCTGAGTATTTAAGGACAGTGTTTAAGCTTTCATATCCTCCCTCACAGACAGATATATTGCATCAATTTATTGTTTTACAGAAGCTCAAAAATGTCCAAAAACGCGTTTTTCAGCACTTTTTGTACGCCATCAGTAAGTGTTAAAGTTGCAAGTTTCTACGAGTTTTATTTTCAATAACTTTTGCTGATAATTTTCTCTTCCTCTCTCGCTGCAAGTACTTACTGGAAAAGTTATTGAATGGACCTACTGAAAGACCGAAGTCTTTCAACGCAGGCAGTGTGCTGAATCGTGTAGATCAGAGGCTCCCAAACTTTTGAGATAATGGAACCCTTACTAAACACCTTTTATTTATACAAAATTCAAAGGCAGTGCAATTTAAATATGAATAAAAACTTTTACTAGAAATAGTATACATACTTTAAATTTTAATGTGAAGAATGAAATTTTTTACTGTTATTTATTATTGCTTTATAGTTCGATATAATGCCTGAAAGCTGTATGCGCTTTTCTGGGGTAGCACCAAAATTTGATCTGAATTTGTTTTTTGTATAAATGTAAGCTGAAAACCTTGTTGACAGAAGTCAGCAAAGTTAATATATTTAGTCTTTTAAGCGACTTAATTATATTTACTCCTAACACTAATGAAGAACTAGTTCAGAGACACAGATTCAAATTTGTGTTTCAATGTCGAAATATTATGAAGATCTCTGAATGTTTCGTAAATGGATTCGTACCAAACCGATATTACTACTACTATCCGAAAAATGATCTGGTAATCCAGAAATTAAATTTTCTTTTAAAAGATGATAATATGTCAGTAGTAATTTCACTGATCTTTCCAAAAATGTTATAAGCCGGATATATCTTTTGCGTTATTGCTTTGATCAGGGCCCGGACCCAAGTCATTTAGAGTGGTAGAACGCACCTCAAACCCATTGGCTACAGCGCAAGCTCAATGCTCTTGCGCAGTTATGGCACTCAGTACGGCAATTATACCAACTACGAGGACATATCGTCGTTGTAAGTAAAAAACCCCGTATCGTCGTTATGCAAAACCGCGTAATTGACATTTTTTGGCAAAAATTGGATTTGCTCACACATTATAAACAAATTCCATCACGTATTTTTTCTTTTTTAACCAGCGTTAGCAGAGTCTCTCGGATTTTCTTAGTATCTTTTGAAATCCCGATGAGCTAAAAAAAGCACATATGTATTTTAATTGAACATTGCTAGATGCATAGATATTTAAAAAAAAATAAATAATTAATGGAATGTCGGAAAATAGTTTAACTTCGCAGGTCTGTGTTATCGAACAATAAGTTTTTTTAAATTTAAAATATGTAATAAAAATTTTCTATACTAACAATACAAAGAAACTGAAACTTGTTTACGGTTGTGCTAAAATATATAAATAATGCAAAGAAATATCGGTATGAAATATTGTTGTACGTCCATCCATCCATCATACGTATATGACCTTAATAGGATACCGCCGGAAAAAACTTATCCATTTTGGACTGCATATTTCACAAACCCGACACCTTGCTGATTAAAGGCATAATTTCGCAATTCATTTCCGCCTGGGAGCTACGCCGACGAAGTGACACAAATTTGTTTTGTTTTTGAAGCCTATTCTTAGGCTGAGAAATCATTCATAAAGTTTTCCAATTTCTTTTTCTGACTGTTAAACTAATCAAAAGTTCTTCGGTTTGAACTTGCGTCAGCTTTCATGATGGGAAGGCAGAGCTTTTAATAGTAAATTTTTTGATCGGCAAATGTAGATAAACCGTACCTAATTCTCCATGCACAGCTCGTCGTTGGACACGGTGTATGTACATACATACATATTTGCGCTTGTATTTTGGCACCAGAAGTACTTGTAAAATTATATTTAAATACATATTTAAATAACAAGTATTTGAAATCCAAAATGTTTATTTTTAAAATGCAAATACCTTTGAAAATACTATTAAAATCACCACCTTAAATGCTAAAGGCCGTAACTAACAAAAAATACAAAATCCGCTTTTTTATTGATTGTGATGAATTTCATCAAATTACAAGTCCCCACATCACATGGTTTTGTGCAAAGAAAAGTTTGTTAGTTAGGCTTTTTGCATTTCAGGTGGCGATTATTAGTACATGAGCAAGGCGAATTAATATAAGGTGATAGCAGGAGTACAAAAACAAAAATGTGCATGTATTTTGTTTTTGCTTTGGCGGCATAAACTGTCAAAATCTGTAAGAGTGTGTGTAGAAATTCAAACAAAATTTTTCAATTTGATATCAGAAGCCGTGCGGCGAAACACATACACAAAATCAGCTGAGCTAGTAACACCACCTTATATAAATACGCCTTGTAGATGAGTATACAAGATTGCGCACTACGAAGGTCCGTTATTCACTTCTCAGTACGCGTAAAAAGCAAAGAAAAAGTGAAGAGAGGAGAATGAGTAAATTTTGAAAGAGCGGCATTTTGCGACACTTTTGCGCTTTGCATGGCCTGCTTACGTTTTTGGTAATCCGAAATTTGCAAGCGAAGAATAGAAAAAATAGCTTAGTAAACAAAATACAAAAACTGCTTTAAAAAGTATTTAAAATATAAATATAGTATAAATACGTATTTGGGATTTGTATTTTATTATGATTATTGAACACACAAATCAAAAGTTCGCTTCTTAAGTCTTTTGTTCTGACATAGAAACATTCTCCTCTCCCTTTTTATATGTATGTATAGAAACTGGAGTGTTTAACAATTGTTAAGGAAAAATTGATTTTCTTGTGGCAATCTTTCATCAATTTCTCAAATATATAAATTACTGGATAATGGGCGTGGCGCCGCCCACTTATGACTACAAATGTGTATCTCGGTAACCGATTTATCAATTTCTACCAAACTCGGTGCACTTACATACTAACCTTGGTACAGAAAAGCAATTCATTGAAAATTATTCAAATCAGTCTAAAATTATACCCGCTTCCCGTATAACGGTAAATTTTAAACATACGAAAACTCCGATATTTAAATAACTGAGGACGCTAATTTACTCCAAGTTAATACTTACAAGAATCTCTTAACAATAAACAAGACTGCTACAAAACTTTTAGGAATTGGGCATGGCGCCGCCCACTTTATGACTAAAAGGTATATCCCGGTAAACGCTAAACCGATGTCTATATATCAAACTTAGTTCAGTTAAGTCTTACTCAGCATATTATCGAAAACATTTGAAATATGGAAAAAACACCCCTGCTCATCATGCAAAGGTAGTTTAGAAAAAGTTGAAACGACCTGTGCCGGATATATAAAATTTGGTTTCGCCCGAACTTATACTTCTTTACTTGTTCTTAATTTTTTCCACTTTGACCATCG